CAAGGTCTAAAGGATTCAAAGTCGTAGAATTTGGTATTTGACACATTAAACGAATATCAAATCCATCTTGCATTGCTACACAACAATATTTCTCATCATCATGATAAATGTGCATTCTTGCATTATGTTGCTGAATGAATGTTGGATAACTTTAGTATTCAGTACTAGGCCATTTTTCCTTGATAGCAGGAATGACTTTTTTCAATTTAGTATGACTTTATAATATCTTTGGTTATGAAGTTACTGGTTGTTGAGGTTTTTGTTTTTAAGATAAAATAGTTTTAAAATGAGAGTGAATGGGAAATGGAGGGAAAATGAAATTTTTGAGTAAAATTTTAAGTTTTCCCCTCTTGACAATGAGACATTATCTCATATTGGAAGAGGAAGAGATTTTNTTTTTGAGTAAAATTTTAAGTTTCCCCCTCTTGACAATGAGACATTATCTCATATTGGAAGAGGAAGAGATTTTTGGTGGGTATATATATAATTGCTCTTCTTGTAGCTCTTAAAGAGTTAAGAAGAAAGCAAGCTTCGCGCCGTCGTCGTCGTCGCTCGGCTCGGCTGCGGCTACGGCTACGGATTCCCACCATGATTGTGCTTGCTCCACAAACAAGCTAATGCTTGCTCCACCATGGAGGGTGGACGATTGTTCTTCTTCAACACTGGCTGCTATATATATGTGCAGCAACTATTGAAGAAAGACACACAAGACACGAACTGAAATCGCTCAACAGATTTGGCTATACATTGCACTCCTTCCTCTCAGCATTTCCATATGATTTTCTGAGTTTCTACTCCTTCGTTCTGCATTGTTTTAACTTCAAACAAAGCAACTGTAAGTGTGATTTGCTACCGAACTTTGTGTTCGCTAAAACATTGGGGTTTGAAGTACCGCTACACCAGTGTGTGATTCGTTCTATCCTGGGAGGAAATAATCCATTACCTTGGGTACTAGGAGGGGATTAAATTCCTTAAGGAAACACTGTGAATTCAGTGGGCTCGAATTAATTACTGTTTCATTACGATAACTTATATTTTGCAGAATTATTATTTACAAATACAGCAATATTGGCGGGAATAACACTGGTATTATATCCCGTGTGCCTGCAACTAGGTCTACTGGCTCTTTTAGCTCATTCTTGTGTGACAAATGGGAATACACTAATTTTTTTTCAGAGTAGAATTCATTTTTTTGTGCATCAAACCCTTGATGAGCTACAACAGCTTAAAGCATGCTATTATTATGGTGTTTTTTTAGAAGACAATTAGTGATCTCTTAGCTTGAACTCACATAACACTTGAGACATAGAAAAGGAGGCTGGTCTAGCTCTAGTAGGGAAGAAGCACATCAAATATATGACTTTCAAGTGATGAGATCAGTAGCTGCCTTCTAAGAAATGCCATATGATTTATATGAATATCATGCTTTAAGTTATTGTATCTCGTTCGGTGTTTCATGCACAAGGAAATGAACTTTTCTCTCAAAAAATTGGTGTGTTCCCATTTATCATACAAGTATGAGCTAAAAGTACCAGTTTGCCAATAGAGTTGTAGGTACTCTAGACAAAACTAATAGCAATAATCAAAGACATTGATCATACTTAGTGAAAAATTAATTTCTGCTATCGAGGAAAAATTGCCTAGAATCCCTCCATTTATGAGATTAAATCATTTTTTTTGAACTAATGGATAAGGCACAACCTGTTATTAACTCTCTTGTAGTAAAATGGCGTCCTCCTTCAACTAGATGGATGAAGTTAAATTCGGATGGATGCTTTAAAGGCAATCCAGGACCTAGTGGTGGGGGTGGGATTGTTAGAAATGATGTTGGGAAGATGGTTGTTGCTTATGCAATGCCTCTTGGTATACAAACAAACAATACTACAGAAACATTAGCACTCAAAGCTGGAATTGAATCATAATATGAGGAAGCTAGAGGTGGAAAGTGATTCCCTGTTATTGGTTCAATGGTTAACAAATGATGCTAATATCCCATGGAGACTACAACATGAAGTGAATGACATAAGAAAGAAGATGGAGTATTTTGAGGAGGTCAAGCTGAGACATTGCTACCGGGAATGTAATAAAGTGGCAGACAATCTTTCTAATTGTGGCTTACAGTGTAATGCTATTACTTGGTACACTTCCTTCCAGCAACTTACCACAGAGGCTAAAGGAGATGTTAACATGGATAGACTCCAGTTCCCCTCATTCCGGATGTCAACAAAAAAGAACAATTTCATACTGGATCGACAATTGCTAAGACTTTATAATTTTGATGTGCCTTGATATTATCATGTATGTGAAGTGGGTCTTGTTGGTTTTTTTTTTTAAGCATAAATGTAGCTTAAAAGAGGGTGAATGCGAAATGGAGGAAAATTAAAAATATTTGAGTTTCCCTCCTTAACAAAGGGATATTGTCCCATATTGGAAGAGGAAGAGATTTTGATGGGTATATATATACAATTGCACTTCTTCTAGCTCTTAAAGAGTTAAGAAGAAGGCAAGCCTCGCGCCGTCGTCGTCGCTCGCTCGGCTTCGGCTTTTGTAAACGGAATATTAATATTAAATCCAAACATAATAATATATGCCCTTCACTTTTTGTAAAAGACATTTACAAAACAGTTTGCACCTCTTCAGAAGAACAGTTTGTACCTCTTCAAATCTGAAGAGTTGAAGAACAGTTTGCACCTCTTCAGATTTGAAGAAATAGTTGGCACCTCTTCGGATTTGAAGAGTTGCACCTCTTCAGATTGAGCTCAACATTGGCTAAAAATACCAGTCCATTCTCTCAGTTTTTCCATACGAATATCTGACTTCTTCTCCTTTCTTCTGCATTATTTTAACTACAAACAAAGCATCAGTAAGTGTGATTTGCTACCGATTTTGTGTTCGCTGAAACATTGGTGTTTGAAGTATCGCTACACCAGTGTGTAATTCGTTCTATCCTGGGAGAAAATAATCCACAACCTTGGGTACTAGGAGGGGATTAAATTCCTTAAGGAAACACTGTGAATTCAGTGGGCTCGGATTAAATTCTGTTTCATTTACATTTATGTTATTTTATCTTCTCCATAATTATTTTACAAATACAATTAAATCAACAGGTCTGGCATAGAATCTGCCATCAAATGTATTGGCCTACAAATGTATTGGTTGGAGCATGTTCCTCCTCTGCTGGAATAGAGAGTTTGGGATGCCAACTCTTCTGTATTTTGTACTCTTTGTGATTTCTCAATAATAGCCGTTACTGTTTGAAGCCAAAAAAAAAAGAAGGGAAAATTGCCTAAAGAAGATTATTCATTAGTAAAATAATACAAGAACACACATTTGTTGTGATGATGAAGAAAATTTTGCCTAGTAGCAAAGCAAGATAGGTATGATATTTGCTTAATGTATCAACCACCAAATTTTACAGATTTTTTTAAAGCTATTCAATCCTTATAACATAATGAGACCTAAAATTGTTGATGAGCTTGTTACTGTGGTTATAAAGATTTTCCTACTTTGATGTTCAATTAAATTTTTCTAACATTCCAATCATGCATGATAAAAATCATGCCAACAAAAGGTTATGATAAGTACAATATTCCACATCTTAATAAAGAAATATGAGAAAGAAAAGGCTAGCTTCCTACTCAAACGAAATGTGATTCTGAATTGGTACAAGAAATTCTAAATTATTTAGTCTAAATTTGTTCCTAATATGATGGTGTGGATGTGATGACTTAGTGTTTCGTTTTTAAAAAAGAAATTGATAGTGTAATTTTAATTGCTTTTTTAAAATAATCAAACGTCTAGTTTTATTGATTCTGATATGTTGGTTTTGAAATTAAGACTAATTCTAGAATTTTTTGGTTGACTTGGATTGCCATTGGAAGGGTGGGTGTCAAATTTTGTTGAGCTAAATTCAACTTTTCGGGTAGAATGAACATCAAAATATCTCTATGTTTCTTCTTCCTATATTTTTCTCTGTCAAAATGATTGGTATAACACTCAAAGCAAAGATGTCAAAAAGAGAAAACCCAACATTAACTTAATCCCATGTGCATTTAGTTTCAATGCCAAAGTAACAAGAAAAGAATAGAAAGGACCGTAAATGATCCATCCAACAAAATGTGAGTAATATGTTTATATTAATAAAGTTGGGAAGATAAATTTTTAACAATGATCCTAACTATATGATGTAATTCTTCTCCCTCAAAAGCTTCTTCACATTCATCAGGAAGCTTGTTCAAATTAAACACACAATTCAAGTCTAAATTTAGTCCAACTTTTTCATTTGAGTCAACTCTCTCAATTGAGTTTTCAATATTCATTGAATCGTTAACTCTCTCAATTGAGTCTTCTACTTTAATATCTATTGATTCTCGAACTCTCTCAATTTGGTCTCACTCTTAATTTGAGTCTTCAATTATCGAAATGATTTTTCACCTCTCCGTTTTCTTTCAAAATATATTTTATGAAAGAAGATGACAGGAGATAAAATTTATAATAGAGATCAGTGAAACTAATCTGTTGTTGGTTAATTGAATAGCATAGGAAAATCGACTCTTTGTAGATGTAAATAAGCATGTAAAGACTTTTTAGAAAATTATATAGATTAATAATTAGAGCAAGGGTAAATTTGGAAGGAAAAAAATTAATGCCTTCTTGGTTTTTTAAAATGACAGTTATTTTGGATCATTTTTGGGGCTTAAAAGACTTTTAAAGTGTACCGTAGGTAGTATTTCATTGAGTCTTTTTTCATTTTTCCTTGCCTGGGTTGGTGAGGGGCAAAGTTTTGGTGGCTAGCATACTGATTCCATTTCCTTACATTTACTATTTTCCTGTAGCATTAAGTAATTCTGCAGAGGCTTTTGTACCTTTTACTATAATAGGTCCAGAGTAGGGGTGGGCATAATACCGGCCGAATCGAAAACATCGGCCGAACCGTGAATTTCGGTTTTTCGGTTGGGGCACAATGTTTAAATTATTAATTTTCGATTTTTCGGTGCGGTTTACGGTTTTGGTGTTTCGGTTAAACCGAAAAATCGAATTTTTGGGTATTAGTTAAGAAAAATAGGTTTGAGCATGTGAGTTATTTTGAGAGTCCAAAACTTATTACCCATTTCAGGCTGAAGCCAATAGTCCAATACCCATTTGAACTTTGAAGCTCAATTTACCCAAACTTACTGTACTGATAGTCTGATTATACGTTACACACTTACACTTAGACCTTAGTCACTTACTTTTCATTTCCCAAAACCTAAATCAAAAATTAGATTTAGGGTTCTTCCTCAGCTCCTGTCTCTGCTGTGACTGCTGCCTTCTTCCTCAGCTCGGCTGTGACGCCTTCTTCCTCAGGTTAGTGCGACTTCTTCTTAGTTCTGAGTTGAGTTGGGTCCAGTGTCGTTTTGTAATTTTTCTCACTGTTATTGTCATTTTGGCCGAACTTTCTGATAGAGTTTTTGGTGGAAAAGGTGTTCAAGATTTCTTTGGTTGATTTTTTATTAAGATAAGGCTTCTTTATTTGTGTTTTAGTTCTTTTTTTCCTTGGAATAATTTTGAACAATTCTTTTCCCTTTTATTGTTGCAAAAAAATGTGATTGAGAAAACTCTAGTATATGAAAGCTCAAAGTCAAGTTTAAGTTTATGAAGAAAGAAAATGTCTTAGTCTATGGTGTCGTAGTAATTTTGTTAATCATATCACGTTAACTCCATTTTCCCGATTTAGATGACAATGTTCCTGTTATATCTGGATTTGAGGTCTTTTCTTAGGGTGGTGTTTGTCTCCACTAATAAAAAACCAATCTTTTTTGAGAAAACTATATTCAATCAACAAGCAGCAACATCTCTGAAGTTAAGGACATTTCAATTAGTACTTCCTCTTTTGCTGCTGTGTTCTGTTTGCACTGAAAGCCTCTCTGTTCTCTGTGTGCTTGTTCTCTATTCTTGGTTTCATTTATAGTGTAGTTTCAAATATCCTCCTCTTTAGTAATCACCAAAATGTTACACTAGTTTCTTTTGATGACTTTGCAGTTTGCAGCATTTCCAGGCTTGTTTATTGCATGATAACTGAGAATATATCCTCAAATACCTGGGCACCTTCTTGTAACAGTGGCATGATTCCTAAACGCAGAAGACAAGAATGGGATGCTGTCTTCTCAAGTGTATCCCAGCTACGGCGAAAAAATGTCTAAATTTTTTGTTAGGGATGTAGGAGGTTCTAACTTGCACTAACTAGTTCACACACTTTCTCCATATGTCTATCGTGTGTCAAATCTCATCTGAATTGGCCTTACTTCTTGAGTTTTAGTGCGGAGACTGCATAGTTCATAGCTTTTTGTTTGCCAAAGGAGTAGGCAAAAGTTGCTCACCTAAATTATGTTCAAGATGTAGTATGGCATGTTCTTGGTCCCTCGATTGTTTAGTTAAACTCTTATTTATTTTGAAATTAGTTTCAAGACCTGCTTTATGAACTATTAGCCTGTAGATTTTGAGCATTTAGCTAGGACTAGGATATATATTTGAGAAAATTGTAAGGAGAGTACGAAAATACTGGCTATCAAGTACGAGAGAGGGCTAAATGCTTGTGAAGTTGCACCATATTGGTCTTGTGTTGGAGAAAAATGATGATTTTTTATCATTCATTAAACACCGTCATTATCATGAGAGTGATATTGTCAGCAAATAAACAATGGTATGAGAACTGACAATATCACTCTGCCGTTGTCTTTCTCTGTTGCCTCCTTTAAGAGAATTCTATCTCAAAATGATAATTTGCTGGGCTGAACGAACAACAAATAAATTCCAGCCTTGTTTATTGCATGAGAACTGAGAATATCGTCTCCGTTATATGCAATCGATGTTGGACCAATATCTGCTTTTCTATTCATTCATTATGACAATCTATTTCCTTTTTCCAGAGAAGCATAAAATTTCTTTGAACCGTTTAAAACCGAAAAAATAAATCGGAAATAACCAAGCCGAACTTTGAAAAAATCGCACCGAACCGTAAATATTTTAGTTTGATTTGGTTATTAATATTACAAAACCAAAAACCGATAAACCGAACCGTACTTTTATAATAACCGACCGAACCGACCGACGTCCACTCCTACTCCAGAGACTCATAGCTGGTTCACAAAGCATGCTCGAAGATCGTGCTTATTTAGGCAAACCTGTAAAAATTCGTCTGCTAAAAGAGTTCCGTTGAAGTATATTGTCAGAGATAGTGACAGTGTTTCGAAGCAGAGGAAAGGAAGGATTCTGAGAAGCCTAACGTTAGGATGGAATGTTCTGATGAAAACACGGTAGGAAAGGCTTTCTTTTCTTTGGTGCAGAACAGTAACCAGCCTTGTAGCTAGAGTCCTTTTTCAGGACACGCAAATAACAAATGGTGGATGTCAGTCATGTCTCCTTCTGAAGGACAAGCTATATCCTGGACCTGGAGTCATGAGTTCAGTTTGTCGAGGTTATGGGCCTCCAGGATCGACTCCAATGGTGGGAAATCTTTCTGTATACGGTCAAAATCGATTCGAGTCAATCGTACGGACTGATCGAGACGATAATATTTCGATCAAAGGATATCCGCATGACAAGCTCGGTCAAGATCCGAAGTAAGGGCGGCGAACTTTGAGCTCTAAGACCGATCAAATGACAAGCTCGATATCATTATCGAACCCATATCCAAATCGAACTACGAGGCAAAGCGGAGATTATCGAAGATGCATGGACCAACCAACATTCATCCTGAATACCGAGACCCCAAGTCAGAATCGAGCTCGGACCAAGCCCGAGGGCTCGATCCAACACCGAGCTCGAGCCAGTATCGAGCTCGCAGATTAGGGCCGTTGCAACCGCACTATGGGAGAGAACCTTGGCGGAAATCGAGGAAAAGACAATATATAATGGGCTCTCCACTGCGTATTTTTTATTGTATATAAAGTAGGATCTCTCTACTATAAGAGGGATGGCAACAAAAGATCACGGGGTAGAAAAAGATAATCCCTTGTGCTTGTTTGACTCATTCTTTTTCTCACTATTTTCATTCTCATGGTTAAGAATACACATATTTTTATTTCTCTACACAATTTATATCAAATTATATCGAATATCCTTAGAATCATATACAAATCTAACGTTATCCGATTTTTCGTGTAAACAGTTTGGCGCCCACCGTGCGGCTAAGGGTAATAGTGGTTGTTTGATACAAATCTGCAATACACACCAGTTTACAACTTTAGATCAACAATGGCAAACCCTCGATTGATGGCTATACCTATCGACCATGAAGCCGACCTTCAAGATGAAACCAACGACTTGACACCCAGGGCCGGAAGGCGAATGAACAATGTCACCGAAGATCGAGTCGAAGTACCGCTAGATGTCAATTCACAAGTGGCTCTTGAGGTGAACCAACGTTCCGAACCGGAAAAAAGTATTCAGGGCGGTACTCGATCCATAGCTCGAGACACCCATAACGTGGAGGAGATTGAAGTCAACTTACGGGTGATCTTCGAGATGTTACAAGCCCAGCAAATAGCGATAGCTCAGTTGCAGAGCCAAACTCAGGAACGAAGCAGGCCGAAGCCCAATCCGCTTCGAGAAATCACCCAC